TAAGGTGATCACACTGAACAATCAGTGGACTTAGTTTCCTGGGCTGTAAATCAGATCTAAAGATCAGGTTCCAGTCCCCTCACCTGTGCCCCCTCTGCTCAACTTTAACTGCTAATTTAGCTGCAGCCCTCTGCCACCCCCGACACTTCTGACCTCATGGGCTCTGAGGGCAAGCACAGCCACGATGGGGCCAGAGACCCGCAGGGCCCCCAGCCCGCAGGACAGGCTACCTGGTGTAAAGCAGGGCCTGGACCCTGCCCTTGTCACTGCGAGCTGTGTGAGCCTGGGCAAGCTGTAGGCCTCTCTGAGCCTGTTCTACCCTCATCAAGGAAGTGGCAGGAGATCTACCCTACCTCGTGGGGGTAATTCTGCTGATGACATGAGTTAATGTTTAAATTAGCTAGAAAATGCCAGCACTAACTACAAGCCGACCCCCTGACCACCCACCAGCCCTGTGGTCCCCGCTGCCCTGCCAAGGCCCCAAAGCTGCAGGAGCCCCTTACAAGGTGAGGACAATGCCCTGTCTTCATAACACGAAACTACAGGGCGACAAAGCCGTACAGCTGTGCCGTGTTCTCTGAAATTAGTGTCCGACAGCTACAGCTCTTCTCACTTTTACTTGACCCCCTGACCCTCATGAGACCAGTGTCCAAAAGTCCGGAGTCCACGGCAGTGAGGCCGCTGCTCCTCCCTGGCTTTGCTACACGGTCAAGTGGGTCCAGCCAGCTGTGCTCCCTGAGGTCCAGTTCAGCTTGGGGCCTCCTTCCAGCCGGACTTCAGGAGTCCCTCTTTCCAGCTGTGCCGGGGGAGAGGTTGTGTCAGACACTCTGAAAAGAACAGACGCCAGCTGTATCGTTATTTGGAAGTGGAAGGCAAATATAGGCTGGTAAAACACACTAAATCCAAAAGTAGAGCTCATCCTGACGTGGGCTTTCACATGACCTCTGTCAGTGAAGGGCCTGTCGATCATCCCAGCAGCAGAACAGGGAGAGGAAAATAACTTAAACACAACACTGTTTACGTCAGGATCAAAAAAACATCCAATGCCCAGGCATAAATCTAATAAAAGATGTGTGAGACTTCTACACAGAAAGCCACGATATATTCTAGGAGAAATTAAAGAAGGCTGGAGGAGCAGGGAAACATGCTGTATTCCCAGACCCAAAAATGCACTAGTGTACAGGTTCGGTTCTCAAACTGGTCTAAGATTTATTGTGATTCCAATCAAATCTCAGCAATTTTTGTGGAAATTAGCAAAATGGCTCTATATTTTACATGAAACACAAAGGGCCAGCAAAAACCAATATGATCTTCTAAAAAAAGGAAAGTTGCAAGGCTTACACTGCAAGTGTCAGCAACTGAGCCAGCATGGTACTAGCACAAGCTTTGCCAGCTGGTGCCTAAAGGGACAGGGACAGGCTCATGGAAGAGTTCAGAAACAGCCCCAGCAGGTAGTTTCCTGTGTGTGATGGTGACATCCTGCAGGACAAAGAGAAGGTTTTTTACTACGGTGTGGCTCCCTGGGCGTCCGTGTGGAAAATTCAGACTCCCGGTACCCTCACCAGACACAGCACTCAGCTCCAGAAGACTGTAGGCTTCCAAGTGAAAAGGGAGGATGCTTAACCTTCCGGAGGGTGACACACAAGAGGACCTTCGCACCCCTGGTGTCCGGGGAAGACTTCTGAAGGACAGAGGTGCACAGGCCATAAAGGCCACAAGTGGGGAACTGGATTTCACCTCTGATGCCTGCCCATCCAGGCCCAGTGGGAAGAGGAGTCTGCACATCAACGAAGACTGGACCCAGAAGATACAGAGTATCCCACAAATCAATACTAGGCAACACAATCCTAAAAGGGTAAGAGCAACCAAAGACTTAAGAAGGGCTTCCTGAAAGAAAAGGTGCCATGGCAAAAGCTATGTCTGTGGTCTATGTATGAGCTCAGCATCGCCATTCATCAGAGAGATGCACAGGAAACTGGAGTGAGAGGCCAGCAATGTGTCCTTCCTGGGCAGTGGCTTGAATACAACTGAGTTGTATATGCACGGATTTACATACGCCTCTCTATCTATGGTAGTACTTTAATTAAAATCATTACTAAAAAGGGAGGCTTAAGAAAACTTCAACCAAATGCAATGTGTGGGCCTTTTGGATCTTGCTTCATACAAGCCAACTGTTAAAAACACTGTGAGACACTTGGGGAGACTCGAACACTAGCTGCGTATTTGATAATGTTTAAGGGATTTTCAATTTTTTTAGGTGTCATGATGATACTGTGGCAATGTTTTCCAGAAGAGTTCTTATCTTTTAGAGCTACACACTGAAATAAAAATATACATCTTATAATTAAAATATCTTGGATTTGCTTCAAAATGTTCACAAGGGGAAGGGCACATAAGCCAGGAATAGATGTGTGGCCAGTGGTAGGAATATGGAAATCACTGTGGCATTCCCTCCAACTTTGTGTACATTTGAAATCTTGCATAAAAAAAAATTAAAACTAGTGAACAAGGCTTTATACTTTTTGGCTATTTACGACTCCTCTATTCTACCTCTACCTGTCCTAATAAAATAAGGCTACGCAGTAATAATGGAAACCTAGGGTTACGGGGACATCAAGAAGCCATCTTGGGAGATGTAAAAAGAACGAAGGTGTGTGACGTCCTGAGTGCAGTCGTTATGCACAGCCAGTGTGTACTAACAAAAGAAAAATTAAAGCAGCAATCTTGACTGTCTCTCACCTTCAAGTAGTCTCACCTTAGCCACATCTGCACACTGACTGGCCCAGGCGCACAGGGTGTGGACACTCAGATCCGCAGGGATAGATGGACAGACAGATGATCTCCAGGCTGTCTCCCTAATACTCTGAAGCAAATCCAAGATCCAGAATGAAAATATGAGTTATAAGATACATGCTATACTCTTATGTCAGTATGTAGCTAGCTCTAATAGGACAGAACATTTTTGGAAAACATTGCTACAATCCCATCGTGACATCTGCAGTCTCCCTGAGCCGATCAGCCTTTCCTGCCATGTTGACCCTGACCCAGGACCTAGCCTGCTCTCCAGTCTTTCTGGATTTCTCTGCCTACTGACATGGCTGAAGCTGCTACCAAAGCAACCAAGTATGAATCCATGAAGAAATCAGGTTTGGCTCTTTCTTACCCCAGGGTCCTACACTTCTAGAGGCCTACAGTTTAGAAACCCTCCTTAGATACATGCAGTGCCTACACAGTACACCTGGCCAGGCCTCCAGGCTCATCGAGACTGTCAGGAGACCTCCAGGCCAGGGCTGCCCTAAGCCACAGGAAGGAAACGCATTCCACCCTTCCAGCTCCTGGTGCACTTCAAGTGTAGTATCCTAGGTCAGCGCATGTCCACGCTCCACCGCACTCAGTGTGCTGTTCCTACCAGGCAGAACATCTCCGTTTCTACAAGGACTTTTTGGAGACAGGAAGTTTCTTTTGATACAGAGCTTTCAGGAACCCCTGCTATAGGTTTTGTAGGAAGGAAAACCTCTTTTGTGTCACTCAGCGACACATGTATTTACTCCAATCAGGCTGATGAAATGGTGCGGCAGGCTTCAATGTGAGGGGCCAAGGCTTCATACATACCCAAAGGGCAAAGCTCAGCTCAATGTACACAAAGCACTGCACTGTTCTTTCAACCTCTCAGGAGTGGAGCAATGAGCTCCTCCAGAGCCCACCACCAGCCATGTCTGAACAGCAGTTTCCTGGGCTTGAGAACCTGGTTTTCAGCCACACCACAGCCCTGTGACCTCAAATTTTCTGCTTCAATTTATCCTCTTTGAAATGTGGCTAACAGTGCAGTCCCAATAAGATTGATGGGAAGATTAAAATAGCCCAGCACATAGAACAATACTGAGTACACACAGCGTCGGTCCTTGACATCAGCTGATTGCAGGAGCGTGCTGGGGACGCTGTCGTCCCACTGCATCAGTGCTGCTGCGTCTGTGGCTGGGCCTTCCTGACACACCTGTTTCTACACCAGTGTCTGCGTCACTTGCAGGAGAGGGAAGACACTGAGTCACGGGGTGCTCGGGTCTCCCAAGTGTGAGCAGGTGAAGCCCTTGCTCCTCGGGCAGCAGGCTCTCAGCGTCCGGCCGGCTGAGCCCAGTGCCGCCCGCTGCCCACCAGGTCCCCTTGCTCTCTGGTTGACACGCACACGTGGCCTTTCACTCAACACACATTTTTAAGTTAGGCTGTTATATTTCACAACTGCCTACACAGTTGACATTACTTAGTAAACAGGCACAATTCTATTTTATTTATTTAAGTGCTAGGAATTGAACCCAGGACTTCATGCATGCTAAGCACCTACTTTACTGCTAACCTACAGCCCCAATTTTATATATATTCATTTTATATCTCCTGGGGGATTAAAACCCAGGCCTTTTTTATCTTGAGACAGAGTCTTCCTAAGTTCCCCAAGTTGGGCTCAAACTTGAGAGCCTCCTGGCTCAGCCTCCCAGAGTTCTGATATTACTGGCCTGTGCCACCACACCCTGCCTCCTTTCAATAATTTTTTAAACTTTATGAATAACTACTTACTACACTATTTAAATTTTTAGGTATCTAATCATTGGTCTGTTCCTCTGTATGAGCTAGGCATACACATTTTCTCATAATAATTAGAACTTGTTTATTAATGGTCAAAATTGTGTTTTACCGCTGATAATTACTTATGATTATCAAAATACCAGGGGGATGAACAGCTTGTTTGAAACTGAGAAGACTACCCAAGGGCCTGATGTCTACAGCCTGTGGAAGAACTCCTGGGTGATTAATTATTTATCTACTTTTCAAAGTTAATAAATAGGAATGTCTTTTTACTTTCTATTCCCCACATGAATTTAACCAAACGAGAGATGGGGGAGTCTATGAGCAAACACACCAGTCTGAGAATATATGAGCTACAGGTACTGAAAAGCAGATCTTTAAAAGCAAACGTACTTAATGTCAGTGAGATGCACACAACACTGGCTTGTCTGGCATATTTTATTATGATTAAGTACTCATGAGTATTCTGATGGTTTTAAATATTCTTTTAAAAACGGTGCTTTAAAAGCATACCATCAATACAGAAAAAGGAAAGTAAAATTATCTATAATCTTCAAAACTCAAATAAACCTGATACTTTTAAAAACTTAGTTCTTAAAATGCAAACACTGAGAAAAAGTATAAAAAGAACTTATAGTTCTAGAAAACGCAAAGACTGAGAAAAAGTACAAAAGCAAAGAAATAAAACCTTGATCTCCCACCCCAGTCCCCCTACCCAAGATAAACCACTGCTTATACTTTTCTGTCCCAACAGAAAAACAATGTAGATATTTATATTCATTCATTTACCAAAATGAGTATTATACATCGTGCTTTGTAACATGCATTGTCCACTTAACAACACGCCTTGCCACCCCGTTCTTATCAGCGTGTGGTGATTACTGCTTTCTTCTGCTCTAGTTAGCGAAGCTGGGGAATACATTGCACTTGTAGCTGGCAGTACAGCATTTTCACAATGTGACCCTACTACAAAGTTGGTGCTGCAGTTACAAACTCCTCCAGGCTGTGTGATGGGAACATATCATTGCTTCTGAGGTTCCTTTCAGTTCCTTTGGCTGTCTGAGATGTTGCTATCCATACCAGCTGGGCCCTAGGACAGCTTGAGACGTGGCAGCTGAGAGCAAGGCGCGTCCCACTCCTTCTGAGAAAGGCTCTGGGGTCCCCCTGCCCAGAAGAGCACCCTACGTGCTCATGGAGGGGGGATGAGCAAGCAGAGGGAGACATGTTCGCCATGGGGAGACCCGCGGGGCGCGTGGAGGGCCCAGACAAGCAGGCTGCTTAGCCCTGCCGGCCTCGCCCCGATGCTGGAACCCAAGGGTGGGGAAGCCAGCAGAGTCCTTGGTTCAAGTCTCAGTAACAAAACCACTTTACACCTTTCCACTTCGCTGCTTCAGATCTTTTTTAAATGACCAAGAATGTAATTTTCATCTTAAACATTTCAACATAGTATCTTTACAAATATCAGTTCTATTTGTGACTCATTTGACCCACATAGACACTCCATCAGACAGGCTGGCCAGATCATTAGCCCCACTTAGGAGCCCTGTGTGGGAGAAGTCACGAGACCATCCAAGGCCAATCAGCTGCCCAGGGGCCTGACCCTGATACTCCTGAGGCCACTCCCGAATTCTTCCAAGCCCACAGGAGTTCCACAAGTCCAGTGTGACAATTTTACAGCCTCACAGGCAGAAAAGCAAGCAATGAAGCTAAGGATGTAAATTCAAACACATCTCTCCTCAGGGACACCGGAGTTCCTGAAAAGTACCTCTTCCTAACAGGAATTTCATAAACCGAGTACAGGTGTTACTAAGTACAGTACTAAGGTGTGATGACAAAAAAATCTTCTGTTATTTATTTTGTGGTAGTGGGGATCAAACCTAGGGCCTCTAGGCACTCTAGATGCGTTACATCTCAAGCTCTGAAAATTAAACCTTGACAGAAAAGTAAATCTCTACTAGTTTCAGAAAGACCTGTGAAAATTTTGGTGTTTATGTTTTATTGCAAACTCTGACATTATCTTTTACTTATCTCAATGAAGACCTTGTGTTGGGCAGTCCGGGGAGCTGTCGATGTTTACCCAACGCCTACTTTGAGAGTGGCCTTCTAGTCAGGCAGGACTGACTGTAGGTGAGTGGTTTTGAAGCTTTTTCGAGAATGACCTACACAAGAAATGTATCTCACCTCCTAAAGCACAGACACGGACATCACCATGACAGATATTTCCTATGCTTTTACATTTTCCCACTTCATTTTTTAAAATACTGGTTATGGCCCCCTGAGGTGACTTCATGAGTCACAGGTCAGGACTCAAAGGCTGACAAACACTGGCAGTCAGGGAACTCATGCACGGAGTTCACAGGTATCTCAGGAATGGGAAGGCCTTGCAAGTCCAATAGCTCAGGAGCCTAGCCTTGAAACACTCTGCCTCATCCCTGATGAGGGCAAACCCCTGAAAGTCCCTGCCAGAACATGCCTAGGACAAGAAGGTGCCTCTCACCTGGAACCTAGCACAGGGTCAGAGTCCTGTGACACACATGGAAATGAGTTTAAAGGCACAAAAGCCTAATTATGCCCTCACTTCCCTTTTCCTAAAAGACAACTTGGATGTCCATTCCCAAACCCATCTTAGTCTTTTCCAGGAGTGTGAAAAGGCAAAAATGAGTGAGGGGAATAGAGGTCTTGAAAGGCCCCTCTGATGGCTGGTGGAAGGGGTGGGGTCTTAGCAACTCTCATGAGAAGCAGCCGTCCAGTCTGAGGGGCCTGGTAAGTGACACTCATATGATGTCAGGTTGGGAGGCTGAGTCAGGAACCCCAGAGGCTCAAAACCAGCTGAGTCTTGAGTGGCTAACTGGAATCAGACAGGTGGAGAAAAGAGGAGCAGTCAGACTCAGAAATGAGCCCAGGTGTCCGGGGTGGATAGCAGTGAAGGGTTCATAAACAGGAACAGTAAGAGAGAAAATTTCCTCATAAATATGCAGTGGTTAATTAAAAAGAGAAACATTTAACAGAAAAATTAAAGTGGGATGGAAAGAGAAAATCAAAAGCCTGAGATCTCTCCAAGGAGACCAATCCAGATTTTGGATTTCAGCCTGCAGGCATGGGGTTACCGAAGGTGTCTCAGAGAGTAGACCAGTATTTTAAAATTACTCACGTGCAAGTGGTCCTGAAACCTGGCTCTAGAAAGACCCAGAGTGCAGACAACAGGCAGGCAGTGTGGGACTGAATACAGACAGGGACGTGTGTGCACGTGGGCTTCAGAAATTCAGGTTTCTAGTAAGACCAGGCCAGGTTACCTAAAAAGCAGAGAAGCTGAGATGTACATGCTGAGTTTGGACAGCGATGAGATCCAACTTCCTTTTCCTTCATCCTTCTTTTGCTGAGGAAGTGTGAGCCAGGTCTGTAGCTAAGTGACTGCTTCCTTCATAAAAGCTCTAGCCTTTATTCAGCAGGAAGCTAAGACTTTGTTCATCCTCACTGTTGCTAGGGGCCTAATAAATTACTGTAGTATAAATCATTTTGTAAACATCAAACTTTTGCCTAACAATAACCACCCTCTTAATAAAAAGGTTTCTGGAGTTAATATATAAACAAGTCTCTGGAGGCGCTGACTACCTAGGAGTTCTGGCTTGATGAACCCGGTGGCCTTGCCCTCCAAGCCTCAGCTACAACTCAGCAGCACAAACACCAAATGTGTCATGGTGCAATTAGACTTGCCATCCCACAGCATGTTTAAGAGATGAGAACTACAAAGCTAAACAACCTCTTTAAGAGCCTGCCTTGGTCTTCTGCCCGCTCCCCTGGTCTAAGGGTCGTGGGGCTCCAGACCTGTGTGTGTGGTGGAAGTCAAGCAAGGCCTCCCACATGCTAGGCCAGGGCTCTGCCACTGAGCTACATTTCTGGCCGTTTTAAAATTGTGAGTTGGGGTCTCTACAAATTGCCCAAACTGGCCTCAAACTTCTGATCCTCCTGCCTCAGCCTCACAAGTAGCAGAGATTGAGCTCAGGATTTTTTTATTTCTCATCAGCATTATTTTACCGTATATTTATTTTTAAATTTTAAAAGGACTGTCTTCAAAAGACTCGAGATTACTGAGTTACTAATTGTGTAAATTTGTAATACACACATGCACTACTGGAATGTTTTTTCCATAGGGAAACTAGAGAAAGACTTCTTCAGCCTGGACCAGCGGAGCATGCCTATAACTGAAGCATTCTCGGAGGCTGAGGCAGGAGGAGCACAGGCTGGAACTCGGCCTGGGCGAGACCCTGTCTCGAAACAGGAAAATATATTTATGGGGGTTGGGCTGGGGACGGAGCTCGGCGCCCGAGGCCCGGGTCAATCCCCCTCCCCCCTCCTCGAGCTCCTGAGCGAACGCCGAGCTCCTCGAGCGCGCGGGGCGATCTGCGCTGCGGTTCCGATTTACCCAAGTCGGTCACAGGTCGCCCGAAGTTTCGAGGCCAGGTCGGAACAGGCCGTGGCTGCCGACGCGGGTCGGGGTCCGCGAGCCGCGACCCCGGGCGGCCCGGACCCACGCAGGCCGCGGCCTCATCTCCGGGCGGACCCGCGGGCGACCCGGCCTCGGGCGGAACCTGCGCGGGCCGGAACCAGGAGCGGGCGTGCCCCTCGGGGTCGGGCCGGGCCGGACCCAGGGCGGGCCGGAACCGGGAGACGGCCGGGCAGGGCCGGGCAGGGACCCACCAGAACCCGGGCCGGGCGAAGCCGGGGCCCGCGGGGAGGACAGGGCGGCCGCACACGCTGACAGCGCCGCACCTGCCGCCGGAAGTGGGCGAGCGCAGTGCAGGCATTTCCGGTGACGCGCGCGCCGGACTCCATTAGGCAGCAGCTGGGGAGGAATCAACACCGGAGCGGCGCGGCGACCGGAGCACACAGGCGGCCGCTGCCCGCGCCTCGCGCGCCCCGGCCCGCGCCCGCCCGACCCGCGCCGCGCCCCGCCGGCCGCCCACCACGGCCTCTCTCGGCGAGGAAACTCTGGCCTCCGCTTCCTCCTCCTCCGACTCGGACGCCGGCGGAGCCTCCCCGCCCCCGCGGAAGAAGCCCCGCGCCTCGGCGGCGGAGGAGGCAGGAGAGCCCGGGGCCCCGGCCGGCCGCGCAGGCCCGCGCCCGCCGCCCGCGGC